TAATATATATCAAATCACCACATATGATATCATATATCAAATCTCCATATAGTATATATCAAATCACCATACATATTATATATATATCAAATATCCATATCACAGATATCAAATCACCATGTGTATTATATATAATCAAATATCCATATACTATATATCAAATCATTTATGATATCATATATATCAAATCTCCATATAATATATATCAAATCACCATATATGATATCATATATCAAATCTCCATATCATATGTCAAATCACCATGTATATTATATATATAAAAAATCAAATCTCCATATAATATATATCAAATCACCACATATGATATATATATCAAATCTCCATACAGTATATATCAAATTGCCATACATATTATATATATATATCAAATATCCATGTCATAGATGTCAAATCACCATATATGATCATATATCATATCTTCATATCATACATATCAAATTACCATGTATAATATCATATGTGTGTATGTGTATGTATATGTGTATATATATATATGTGTGTATATATATATATACATATAAAATCTCCATATCATATATAGCAAATCACCGTACGGGTCACATAAACACTTAGGCCCTTTCATTTACTACCTTATATAACCTTGGACAAATCACGTCTCCTTTCTGGACTCAGTTTACTTATTCTGTAAAATAAGGGGTTGGGGTGGGGAAGGGTAGACTAGATGATCTCTAAGGGCCCTGTAAGCACTAAGTAGATGATTCTATGACTTCCAAGACAACCCGCCCTGGTTTGGGAAAGCTTTAATTGTTGAGGATAGAGAGCTGGTTCTGGAGTCAGAATGAGCTGGGTTCAAGTTCTACCCCTAACACATACTGGCTTTGTGACCTTGAACAGGTTACTTACCCTTTCAGAGCCCTAAGACTGTAAGATGCAGAGTTGTTACTGACCTGCATTGGCAGAAGGGGAGTCCTCCCTGGGAGTTCCCCTCTCCAATTAAATCACAGGTCTTGTCCCTACCCCTATCTGATTGCCAGGGAGTTTTTTCTAACATCATGCAAAAATTACTTTATGAAATTTCTACTCATTGCTTTAGTTTTTCATTTTTTTTTTAACCATGGGGACAAACAGCGTGGCTCTAATTGCTCATCTACAGGAAAACCATCTGAATGCTAGAAGAGAGTCATTGAGTCCCTCCTAACTCTTCTCCTCCCCAGGCTACATATCCACCGATCCTCCTGCAGTGGTCTTCTACCATATTGGACAGCCTCTACCTTACCAATGTCTTTTCTAAAATATGCTGTACAGAACTGAATGAAATGTTCCAGGGCAGAACACCTCCCTGGCAGCTAGATGGCACCATAGTATATAGAGCTCTGGGCCTAGAGTCAGGAGACCCAAATTCAAATTTAACATCAGACACTTACTAGCTGTGTGACTCTGGGCAAGTCACTTAACCTTGTCGGCCTCAGTTTCATCTATCAAATGAGCTGGAGAAAGAAATAGCAAACCACTCTAGTAACTCTGTCAAGAAAACTCCAAATGGGGTCACAAAGAGTCAGACATGACTGAAAAACAACTGGATAATAATCCTCTCCTTACTCTCAAACTTTGTGCCTACCTTCCCTGACATTTTATATATTATATATAATATAATATATATATATATATATATATATATATATATATGTGTGTGTGTGTGTGTGTGTGTGTGTGTGTGTGTGTGTGTGTGTGCAATGGATTTTTGAATCTCAGCTTAAGGTACATTCTCTGAAATTCTCTGGATCTTAGTTTCCATATCTGCAAAATGAAGAGCTTAGGGGAGGGATAGCACTCTAAGGACTCAGACTATATATTATACAGTAGCAGTTATCAAAACTCTTTGATACTAGCTAAAAAAGCAGAAAAGTAGATCAGTAGATATCAGTAGATATCACTACCAATAGAGAAGAAATCAATCAATCAGTCAATCAATAAAAATTATTAGTACCCACTATGTACCTGTGCTTAAAGGCAAAAAACATAAGCAATCAACAACAGTGGTCTGGTGTTTGATAAATCAGAGAATAAAAGGAAAGGAACTCTTTCTCTAATGAGAACAATTAGGAAAACTGAAAGGACCGCCATCTTAGCCCGATACAACGATGAACTCAAAATGGATATGCAACTGTATTCAAAGGTCACACCATTGGAAAAAAATAGATGGAAAGATAGTCAGTTTCATTTCACAGCTATAACTAAGAAGAAAATTCGTAACCAAGAAAGGGAGATATATGGATATGGACATGGTTTTCATTAAATAAAATAAAGGCAAAAATAAAAGGAAAACAATAAAGTAGGGAAATACTTACACCAAATATCACCAATAAGTATCTAATATCCAAAATATATAGGGAATGAACACAAATGCACAGCCCCAAGAGCTATTTTCCCAAGAGATGATAAATGGTCAAAGAATATGAATGAAAGGATTTCAAACTACAAACGACCTTTTGGGAAAACATGCTCCAAATCACTAATAGTTGCAAATAGGTGAAGATTGCAGAAGGTGGGAAGAGTCCATGTCAGAGGGGCTCAGGAAGACAGGCACTCAACTATATGATGCTATCAGTGATTTAGTCCAACCATTATTTGAATTAAATGAACTATATGAACTAAATTGTTCATACCCTTTGACCTTGTGATCTCTTTTGCTGAAATATATATATATGTACCCAAGAAACTCAAAGACAAAAAAAAATATTCAATATGCACCCCCCCCAAAAAAAAATCAAAGCAGCATTCTTTGTGGTGCTGAAAAACTTGAACCAAAAGAGGGTATCCATTGATTAGGTAATGGCTGGAAAAAAAAATTTGGCATGTCAAGTTAGTGGCATGTCATCTAGCCTTAAGAAATAACAAGGGAAAGAAGATTTGTGCAAACTGAGGAAGACTGCCCTAAGCAGAATGAAGAGAACAACATTTATAATGACCACAACAATGTAAATGAAGAGGTTGCAAAAAAGGAAATTGAATTCTTATTAATGGAAAAACCAATGAAGGTCCCAGAGAAGAGATAAGGAAGCATGCCTCCTCCCTCTCGAAAGAGAGGTGAGAGAGCATGAGGACAAAATCTCCTACAGATTGTCAGATCAAAGATTAGAGACAGGATAGAAGGAAGAATTCCAGGATCATAGATCTAGGGCAGGAAGGGTCCTTAGAGGCCATTTAGACCAAGACAACCCCTTCCTTTTACAGATATGTAAACTGAGGCCCAGAGAGGTTGGGGAAGTAACTTGTCCAAGGTGATATTGTAGGAAGTATCACAGTCAAGAATTGAACCTAAGACTTCCCTTCTTCAGGCTAAACATTTCCAGGCTTTTCAACTATTCCTCCTAAGATGTGGACTAGAGAGGCCCTTCACTATTCTGACTTGTCCTCCCCTGGTTACTCACCAGCTTATGACGACCCTCCTGAAATGTGATGCCCTGCCTACGTCACAGGCTTGTGAGGTTCAAAGTGATTTGAAAGCTATTCAAAGATACTCAACTATGTTATTGTTTTTACATCCTCATCTTCTCCTTTAACTTCAGGCTTTGCCATTAACCATGAGTAAATGATGTCCCCTCTCTTGGTCTCAAAGAACCAGGGGTTCTTGATCTGTTGTTGTTGTTGTTTTATTTTTCTTTCTTTCTTTCTTTCTTTCTTTCTTTCTTTCTTTCTTTCTTTCTTTCTTTCTTTCTTTCTTTCTTTCTTTTTTTTATTATGGACCCCTTTGGCAGTCTGATGAAGTTCTGGACCCTTCTTAAAATCATGTTTTTAAGTGCATCAAATAATTAGGATTACAAAGGAAACCAATTATTGAAATAAATATTAGAATTTTTTAAATAAAAAAACAGTTCCCAGACCCCAAGGTAAGAATCCCTTCTCTGGTCCTGTGACTATTCTATGACTATTCTAGTCTTTGAATGCTGGAAGAAATTACGGTCCCTTACAGCTCTGACAGTTTGTGAGCCCTGGAGCTGGTTGGGGCTACTGGAAAGCACATTGCATTTGGCCCGAACAAGCATGCTTTGCTTTGTTAACACTACTGCTATAGTGTCTCAGGTCTTACGTTTACTCCCTGACCTTAAGTCAAATGAGTCCTAAGGAAACTAGAGACCCCCATGCCTGCAAAGCCGAAACAGTAAGTTCTAGTGACAGACAGGGCTCTACAAGTAATTTTATCTAAACTCCTTATTTGGTAGAGGACGTCAAAAACCCACAGAGATTAAGTAATTTGCTCAATGTCACATATGTAATATATTGAACCCAGGTTTTCTGACTTCAGACCCAGTGCCCGATGCACAGCACTACGAGTCCACCTCAAGCTCTCACTGCCTTTTTTTTTTTAACCCAGCCTCACAATGTCAAGACACTGGAGCACATAAACATTCTTCCCAGTAAGACATATTGCTTCCCACTAATTAATTGCCTCCTTTTTGATCCAGCCCTACCGAGGCAGGATCCAGGCTTGGGTAAGCATCTTCTCCCCTGAACAAATGTCCTTTTTCATACTTACTCAACATATTATTTCATAGGTGTCATGAGTCAGACTCAAACATGTATCAGGTCCAAAATAAAAAATATAGGCTCAGCAGCTCATTAGAGAAACATTCTACTCCCATACCCGATATAACAATGCAGAGATTAATTCCGTTCAGGCCATCAGATAAGTTAATTATAATTTAAATTTGGTGTCGGCCATACTTCACAAGGCACAGACAATGTGTGGAAAAATAGAACCGAGTTACCCTCCTTGCCTGCTTTTAAATCTGTCTTTACTTGAAGGGCATGAGGAGTGGACTGATGTGAGTGGGAAGGGAGATGAATTCTTAGGAAATAAGATTTTTAAAGCCCAGGGCTTAGGTTGGTGATTCCATTTCTGTGCCTTTTCTAGGCTGTCCACATTTCATGGGGCATTAAGAAGCCTCAGATGTCACTGCACCTTAGCTCTCCAGAAGAAAGAGATGATAAAAAGAAAAAAATATATATGTTCCTACCTGAATTCTTCATCTCTGATCTGAAAGAGAAACAGAAAGAAATACCAGCAGGGTTAGGATTGCATCAGGAGATATAGTCCTATTTTATTCTTCTCTCCCTCTATTGCCTTCCCCCCTCCCCACTATCAATCAATCAAAGTTTATTAAATACCTATTATGTGCCAAGCACTCTGTTAAGGGCTTCCCTTAAGACAAGAGAATGAGAGGACACTTGATACATCAACGATATCCGCTGCAGCGTTCAGGGGGCTGAGGGATGGGCTAATCACCATGTCTGAGCTGCTCATCGATGGCGAGACTTCTCCTTCATAGCCTGGCCCCTTCCCACCTTTCCAGTCAGCTTACTCCTTAAACAGCCACTGCATTCTCAATTTACTCTTCCATCTAATGACAGTGGCCTCCTGGCTATTCCTAGAGTGAGAAACGCCATCTCCTGATTGCAGGCATTTTCTCTGGCCATCCTCCACGCATGGAATGCTCTCCCTTCCGCCTCTTGGCTTCCCTCAAGTCCCAGCTCAAATCCCTCCTTCTCCAGGAAGCCTTTCCTCATCCCCCTTAGTGTTGGTGCCTTCTCTCCGTTGACAATTCCAATTTATCCTGGAAACACCTTGTTTGTTCATAGATGTTTTATGCTATCTCCCCCACCAGACTGGGAGTTCCTGGAGAACAGGGGCTGTCTTCTACCTTTCTTTGTATCCCCATCACTTAGTACAGTGCCTGGCTCATAGTAGGCACTTAATCCATGTTTACTGACTGACTGACCAAATGGCCAGACCTAGCAAATAGACAGGGAGGAGATGGTACTAAACACCAGTTCTTGCCTTACCATTTCAGCGGCTAGTAGTGCTTAGGAGTTGCCCAATTCAAAGAGCGGTCAGCTATTCTCCTCGAAGATTCATTCCCTTCCCTGTCTAGCATTTTCTCCCCAAACTCCAACGAATCAGCTCTTGAAGCCTAGGCATAAGCATTGGAACAGGCATAGAGCAATCTGGGTTCTAAACCACGTGGGTCATTGGGTGACATGGAATGAGCCCTAGGATCCTACAAGCCCTGTTGCTGTTTGTCCTTTGTTCTCCAAGAGGACCACTGATGTCACAAGGGGGATGACAGAATCATAGATTAGAGCCGAAGAGACCTTAGGGTCCAACCCCCCTCAGTTTATAGATGAGCAAAAAATAATAGTAATAGCAGCTACTATTTATAGGGCTTAGGGTTTGCCAAGCATTTGATAAATATTTTCTCATTTCATCCTCACAACAACCCTGGGAGGTAGGTGCTATTATTATCATTCTCATTTTGCAGACAAAGAAACTGAGGTTTAGTGACTTCCCCAGGGTTGCCGCTAGCAAATGTCTCAAGGTGGACTTGAACTCAGGTCTTCTTGACTTCAAGCCAGGGCTCTGTTCACTGTGCCACCTCCCTCCCTGCTCCTTGATTGTAGAGTAAGGGTAGCAGGATTAGATGATTGCAAAGGGCCCTTCCAGCCTTAGCATTCTATTTTTCCAAAATCAGAATTCAATTCCATCCAAGTCAATCCAGTCCAATTCAATTCAATTAGTAAGCATTTATTAAACACCTACTATGTCCCAGGCACTGCGTTAGGTGCCAAGGATAAAAACTAGAATTGAAGTAGTCTCTACCCTGAAAGAGCTAATATTCTACCAGGAGGGAAAAAAAACAATTTAAAAAATTCAATTTAGTTTTAAAAAGATTAAGTGCCTACTGTATATAAAAAATGTAGTAGGCACTAGAAATACAAAGATGGAATCAAACATTGACCCTGCTGTTATTGATCTAAAAGTTTATATTCTATCAGAGGAGAAAACGATTTTTAAAATTCAATTCAGTTAAAAAAAATACGTGCCTATAGCACTTCTAGGGCTATATCCCAAAGAGATCAAACAAATGGGAAAAGGACCCACATGTACAAAAATATTCATAGCAGCTCTTTGTGGTGGCAAAGAATTGGAAATTGAGAGGATGCCCATCAATTGGGGAATGGCTGAGCAAGTTATGGTATATGAATGTAATGGAATACTATTGTGCTATAAGAAATGATGAACAGGCTGACTTCAGAAAAACCTGGAAAGACTCATATGGTCTGATGCAGAGTGAAGTGAGCAGAACCAAGAGGACTTTGTACACAATAACAGCCACATTATGCGATGACTAATATTGTTAAACTGACCCCTTCTCAGCATTACGAGGATCTAAGACATCTCCAGAGGCCTTGGGGTGGAAAATGCTGTCCACATCCAAAGAAAGAACTATGGAAGTCAAATCGCTATCACTTATTTTTACCTTCTGTTGAGTTTTGTTTCATCTTTCTGATGGTTCCTCCTACTGGTTTTAATTTTTACTTGTAATTACAACTTCACTAATGTGAAAATATGTTTAATAGGAATGTAAATGTAAAACCTATATCAGATTGTGCACTGTCTTGGGGAGGGTGGGGGGGGAGGAAGAAGGAGAAAAATTTTCAACTCAAAAGTATATGGAAGTGATTGTTGATAAATCAATAAATTAATAAAAATGGGAAAAAATAATAAAAAAGCACCTACTGTATACAAAGTATGTAGTAGGCACTGGGGGTGCAAAGATGAAATCAAACACTGTCTTTGATGTGGGAGAGAAGGCATGCACAGAAAGAACTGTAAGTTAAAATATAATCAGTGTTTGGGAGAGGCCCTAGCAAGAGCTAGGGATTCAACTCTGTAAATGCTAACATCATCTTGGCCTGCATTCATTAAAATAATAACTGACATTTGTACAGTGCTAAAAAGTGTACAAAGCACTTGACATTCATCCTCATATTTGAGTGTCTCAAAGGCCCTGTAATAGTGGTTAGCATTTATTTAGTGCCTTCTATGTACCAGGCATTCTGCTAAGCACTTTAAAGATTATCTCATTTGAGCCTTACAACAATCCTGGGAGGTAGGTGCTACTATTACTCCCATTTTACAGTTCAGGAAATTGAGACAGACTTTAAATGACTTGCCCAGAGTCACACAACTGATAAGTGTCTGAGGCTACATTTGAACTCTGGTCTCACTAAATCTAGGTCCAATTCCCTATCTACTGCACCCCTTAGCATCCTCCAGTAGGTATGGCTCATATCAACCCCATTTTACAGATGAAGAAGGTGTAAGTGACTTGCCCAGAGTTATTGATGTTCCAATGGTAGCATTTGGTACACTATGTTACGCTCCCTCTTTAAAAGAGTCATAGTGTCCAGTATGAGGATGGGGATAAGTTCACCATAATCTGGCAGGATCAATAAGAAAGGATCTTCCTGGAAGAGGTTTTCATGTGATGGGTAGATGACTCCTTATTATTAGAGAAGTTGTACAAGATGGCTTCTTGAGACCCCTTACAATTCCTGACACTGTGCTTCTGTGAGATTCTCTGCTCTGATCATGTCACATCTGGAGTACAAGTACTGTATTTGAAGAAGGATATTAACAAGGTGGAACATGTCCAGAGGTGGATGACTAGGATGCTGAAAAAAATGGAGACCAGGCAAAGAAGGGAAGGGACAGGAAGGGAAAGTAAAGGGAGGGGAAGGGCAGGCAAGAGAAGGGAAGGAAAAGAGAAAGGGAAAGGGAAGGGAAAGGAAAGGGGAAGGGATGGAAGGAAAGGAAAGGGAAGGGAAAGAGAAAGGGAAGGGAGGGAAAGGAAGGTTTGGGAAGGGAAGGAAAGGAAAGGGAAGGGAAGGGGAAGGGAAGGGAAGGAAGGGAAGGGAAAGCAAAGCAAGGTAAGGCAAGATTTGGTGGGGACTTCAATTATCTGCAGGGAGATCAGACTTTTTGGCCCCAGAGAAAGGAATGAACAGCACTGGGTATAAGCTGGCAAAAGGCTGACTTCAGCTTTCCTAACAATTAGAACCCTGTCCCAAAGTGAACTAGCAGTGGGTCTTCTCTACCAAAGGTTTTCAAGCCAAGGCTGGTGCCTCTTGTTAGGTTCATTTTAGACAGGTTGCTCAGGAGGTCCCACCTCCTGACAGTGAAGTGATGAATTTGGTACAGAATGGCATATATTTTTAAAACATGAGTAATGTGGGGATTTGTTTTGTTTGACTCTGCATATTTGTTACAAGGGTTTACTTTTTCTTTTTCAATGCTAGGTGGGGAAGAAGATGGATAAAAAAAAATACAGATTTTTGCTAACCGGAAAAAAAAGTAAATTTTTAAATAAAAATAAGGAATGCTATTTCAGGGGTAAGATGAACTAGATAACCTCTAGTCCTTTGCAACTCTGACAGATTATGCTTTAAGGAAGAAGGCAACATTTCTACAAAATAGTGGGTTTTCTCTTTCTCTATCACTTGAAAAGAATCCATCCCGAACTGTGGTTATTATTTCTTCCAGCAGTCCACTCTCAGTACTTTCAATTATCACATCAGATTCTCCTGGGGCTCCGAAGTGATTACATGAGCTTCTCTCTTGGGATCCTTTCCTGAGAGAGATTTTTCATGTAGTCTTACCCTGGAGGAGCTCACCCAGCTGCTTGGGTGGGTGACCAAGTGTCCTTCATTTCTTCCATCTGGGCTACACAAGATGAGCGGGTCTGAAGACAGCATGTCCCCCCCCCCACCCTCCCCCTCCTTCCCCGAATATGGGTAGTTCACCAAGGACAATAAAGAAAGGCTGGGCTTTTTCCTAGCATTCAGGTCTAAGACCAAAAGAATAGCTCACTCAGAAAATAAACAACTCCCAAACTCTTCTGGTTAGCACTATAAATAGTTGGCAAGCTGGAAATTAGAGTGGAAAGAGGCCACTAGGAAGGTAGTTAACCAGGGACAATCTCAACAGACTGATAATCTCCAACAGGGGAGAAAGACGGAATTGACCCAGCTCTTATAAGAGAGAAAGTAGAGAGCTGGAGGCAGGAATATAGAAGCTCCCTGAGGGCAGGAAGGGTTTTACTTTTATCTATGTACTTCAAAGACATAGTGTGGTGCCTGGTAGGAATAGAGACTATACCTATGACTTCTCTGGCATAGGGAACTCTCAGATACAGA